ATAGTTATTGTATCTATAATATGTAATAGGTTCTACCTTGCTCACATAAAATTATCACCGTCACAATATGTCTCAGACTGTAGGAAATATAATTAATTCGTGACACTGTAAGACTTTTTGTTATGTTTTCAACATATGATTTCTCACATCAGAATTTGCTCTATAAACAAAAACGTTACGTTCACTGAAACCAACAGCGAAGTAAATTATAATATGTGGGTATTAGCATTTCAAGATTTCAACAACAAAAAAATTCAAAATATATGTTGAGAAAAATCATGATGGAGATAAACAAGCATCGTTCAGCAAAATATCACCGGTAATATATAGAAATGTATAGTTGTAATTTTAAGAATTTGAAATACAAGAATAATTGTAATTTTTTGTATTATAATTATAAGTATTACCTCTAATAAAAATAAAAAATCCTACATATTGAAAACATAGATTACTTTCATTTTAAAGTAAGCTAATCATTTTGAAAACTCAAATATATAGAAATGTATACTTGTAATTTTAAGAATTTGAAATACATGTATAATTGTAATTTTTTGTATTATAATTGTAAGCATTGCATCTAATAAGAATAACAAATTCCTACATATTAAAAATAGGGATTACTTTGATTTTAAAGTAAACTAATCATTTTGAAATATTCAATAAATTTAATAATATATTGAATAATATTTTTAATTACTAACCTGCTCATAGGACAAGCTAAACCCTAGTAATATATATATATATAGTAAGGTAATCATAAACTAAAATTCATGAAGATTTCGTACATATTTAGGAAGGTTTTACTAAACTAGAATTCACAAAGATATCATACATATAAGAAGGTCTTACCAAAAAAAAAGTACTTTTAAAATGGTTCGAAACAAGTTTTTTTAAAAACAAATATGTGAACAAATTTTATTAAAAAAAATTTCATACATAAGAAAGTCTTCTTCAACTCAAATTGATGACACTATCATACATATTTAGAAAGATTTTCATAAATTTAAATTTCATGAGGATATCATACATATTTAAAAATAGTTTCCTAAAAACAAAATATTAAAAAAAAAATCAAAAAGAAAATTCACCTATAAAACGAGGGTATATATATTATCATTTAACACTTGAATGAAATATAGTTTGAGTGATTTTTCTCTTTGTGTGCTATTTTGTGATAAAACTTGTTCTTAAACTATTCTAAGGTATTTCTCTATAATAAATAAAGTTGATGAAGTTTCTATAACTAAAATAATATTTGTTAGTTGTTTTCAATTATAATACTTTCAGAACATCATGTTTGAATTTGAAAACTTAAAAAAAAAAAACAGATATCCCCTCTGTTTCAGAAAAAAGTGTCACTTTGACTCATTTCCCGCATATTAAAAAAATCAATAAAATATACTAATGTATCACTATTTATTATACAATTGTTTAAATGAAAATTATTTAACTAAACATCTATTGGTTGTTTAAAAAGGTAAGAAATTATTTAATACTCCCTCTTTTCATAATGTTACATGTTTTAGCAAAAAAAAACTTAATTTCAAAAACATACTATGTGAACGAATGTTCTTTACAACTCAAAACTCATGGTTCTATGATTTGCTTAAATCGGGTTATGGTACCAAATCTGATATTATCTCCTTAGTTAGGAGAATGGAATTGCCAGTTTCATTGTTAATTTTGCCGTATTTAAAGCTTGTAACCCTAATAAATCTGACTATATTGTTGATATAAGGATTGCAAATAAAACAAAAAGTTCTCGCTTATACGTCATGTAATTCACGAGAATTGAGCTGCCCATTTCATTGTTTTGCCATGCATAACACTTAACGTACAGCATTCTCTCAAGCTGCAGAATATACTTTAACTAACACTACAGAGAGTTAGAAACCATAATATATATACACAAGCTTTAGATCGTCATTTTACTCCTGCTCTCATCAGTTTTCGTAGGCTAAACTTTCGAATAGAAAATGGGAATATTCCCTGGATTTGGTAGCTGGGTCGATAAGGTCAGCTTATATCATCAATCAGAGTACCTGAAGAAGTCAAATAAATGCATAAGCACATTTTTATTCCGTTTGTTGATGTAGGACGAGTCCAAGAGATCTGAAAATGTCGAATCTAAGTCAGAGTCAGAGAAAGACTCTAATAATAATCCTCCTGCTAACAAGAAGAAGAAAGAATATGGTAATGATGAAAAAGAGGAGAAGAAACAACATATACTTTGGCATGAAGAAGAGAAGAAGCATCCTTGGCATAATACCCCTCCCAAGGTCAAGGTAAGATAAAAATCTCAAAACAAAATATAATACCAAAATATAATACAAGATCTTTAAATTTTCTTCATATTATTTCATCTTTGAAGATGACAACTAAGAAGGGTGTTTCCCATATGAACATAGAAGTGACAATAGGAGCGGCACCTGATTTAACCTACTTATGGTTGATTGATTCAATGGCAAGTAACTTTTGGGATGAGAAGAAGCAGCGCGTCCTTATGGTTTTCTTTTCTGATCATTATATGATTCCAATTTGGTATTAAATATATAGCAATACATGACACTATGATATTCTTTTTTTCTTTTTATTACAAGTCAAACACATCAAGAAAGATTTTGAAGGATTATGGTCCGAGGAAGGTCATCAAGGTGGGGAAAAAGGTGGATTTTGAATTCTTTTCGAAGTTTATACCTATCCCGTTACATCTAATTGTGGAAGAAAACAGTGAAGATCTTACGGTAAGAAGCTTCTCTCACAGGAATCAACACCTTTGTTTTGTACATAACTCAGCTTAATTACTGACAGGGAAGTTATAAGAAAGAGAAAGTAATGTTGATGAAAGTGTTCGAGGGCGACTTTATAGTGGAGCCAGTATATGTAGATCAAGAACGCTTGTGCAAAAAGAGGTTACCAATGAGCCCAGAAGAATATAATAAATGTAGCCATGGCAAAGGAAAGATTGCGTCAAAATTGATAATAAATCAATACTTTCAGCCATATCCTCCATTTAATTTACCGCCGCTCTCTTGGTTCATCCGTGGGAGCACCATCAAAACCTCCAAAAATCTGCTCAATGCACTTCAGAACACAGCTAAGACTGTACGAGCGGTTAATCTGCCCGAAGACTATGTTGAAAGGAAGCAGAAATTACAAGAGGAAAATAGTAACCCATTCGATACCAACCTATAGACTGCAAATCCTTCTACAACAAAGTCATCCACGCACTTAGAGCTAGGCAGGCTAGCACAGCTCTTATCCAGATATTATGAAGCCTCTCAGCCACACTTTTAAAATTCAAACAAATGCTATGTACTTTACTCTCCCTTTATATACTGTAGTGTCAAAATTAATGAAATGGCAGAGGAAAATCATTTCCCCCAATTCTCTCTCTTTACAAACAACTTTAACTCTCTCTTGTTCTTGCTTGTTTATTATACTCTACAAGAAACTTACTCCATATTCTCCTAATTCTACACGGAAAGTCTCTTTCTTCTCTAATTCTCACATGAAGAACATGCCACCAAAACCGTTGATTAAAACATCTAGTCAAATGAGACTTTTTTAGTTTTATATTTGTATTAGTGTTTATAGTAAATAAAGTTGATGAAGTTTCTATAGTTAAAATAAATTTTGTGAGTCATTTTCAATTATGAAAAATTGTTTTTTAAAAAATAGGATAAATTCAGACTCAACTGGTGATAATTTGTTTATAACTACAAAATTTACGACACTCAATACGACAAAGAAATACAAAATTTATTGAAATCCTTCATGATTCTATGATTCTCTTCTTAGTTAGGTCTCACTTGCAAGAACTCACAAGAATGGAGCAGCCAACGTCATTGTTTTGCCTTACGTAAAGTTTGTAACCCTTATAAATCTGACTACTTATTGCTGATTCAAAGATTGTACATAAAAAAAAAAAGTTTTCGCTTGTACGTCATGTAACTAACGAGTATTGAGCTGCCCACTTCATTGTTTCGACATGCATAAAACTTAACGTACAACATTCTCTCAACATGCATAATATACTTTAACTAACATTACAGAAACTATAATATATATACACAAGCTTTAGATCGTCATTACTCTTGCTCTCATCAGTTTTGGTAGGCTAAACTTTCGAATAGAAAATGGGTATGTTCCCTGGATTTGGTAGCTGGATCAGTAAGAACAGTCATCAGCCTCTTAAGGTCAGCTTATATCATCAAGCCGAGGACCTGAGGAAGTCAAATTGATATATAAGCACATTTTTATTCTGTTTGTTGTTGTAGGCCGAGGCCAAGGGATCTGAAAATGTCGAATCTAAGTCGGAGTCAGAGAAAGACACTAATAATAGTGCTCCTGCTAAGAAGGAGCAGAAAGAATATCATGATGAAAAAGAGAGGGAGAGACAAGTAAAACTTTGGCATGAGGAAGAGGAGAAGCACCCTTGGCATAATCCCCCTCCCAAGGTCAAGGTAAGAAAACAATCACCAAACAAAATATAATACTCAAAATCTCTTTGCCTTGGTAGAATCAAGAACAAGACGTTATTATATTTTTGATCTTTGAAGGTGACAACTAAGAAGGGTGTTTACCATATGAACCTAGAAATGACCTTGGGAACGCCACCGGAATTAGTCTACTTATGGTTAACTTTTCCACACGGCAGTTCGTTTTTGGATGAGGAGAATTGGCGCGACCTTATGGTTTTCTTTTCTGATCATAATATGATTCCAATGTGGTATTTAATATATAGCAATACATGAGACTGTGATATTTTTTTGTTTCTTATCAAGATAACCAAATCAAAAAAGGTTTTGATGGAGGATGGTCCGAGAGGGGTCTTCAAGGTAGAGAGAACTGTGGCTTTTGACTTCTTCTCGCTGACGTCTATACCTATCCCGTTACAATTAACTGTGGAAGAAAACAGAAAAGATCTTACGGTAAGAAGCTTCTCTCACAATAATCAACACACCTTTGTGTTTGTACCTAACTCAGCTTACTGACAGGGAAAATATAAGAAAGAGAAAGTAATGTTGATGAAAGTGTTCGAGGGAAACTATAAAGTGGAGCCTGTATATGTAGATCAAGAACGGTTGTGCAAAAAGAGGTTACCAAAGAGTGCAGCAGAATATAGAAAATGTAGCGGTGGCCAAGGAAAGATTGGGTCAAAATTGATAATAAATCAATACTTTCAGCCATATCCTCCATTTAATCTACCGCCACTTTCTTGGTACATCCGTGGGAGCACCATCAAAACCTCCAAAAATCTGCTCATTGCGCTTCAGAACACAGCTACGAGTGCACGAAAGGCTGGGCCGCTGAAAGAACCACCAAAATCGTTTTAGTCATATATTTTTATTAACGTGAATAATAAATAAAGTTGATGAGTTTCTATAGTTAAAATAATATGTGTTAGTCAATTCCAGATATGATACTTAACTTATTTTTGAATTTGAAAATCCTTTGAATAATAGATGCATTCATACATAATTAGTGATAATAATTTGTTTATATAACTAAAAGATTTTTCGACAATCAATAGGAAAATTTTTTTTTATTGAATTTATTATTTTTGGAAAAGAATGAAAAATTGTCATCAAATATACAAAAAATCATCACGTATGATTGACTACTGTTGACTGCCGTAGCTGAAAAAGTTTTAAAATTGTGATTACTAAAAAAATATTTACGATCTAACATGTTGTAAAAAAGATTAAATGCGTTGGGTATGTTATAGATTGATACAACAATGGTTCGATATCTGACTAAAGAAGTTTATTGAATAATTATGGAAGAAAGTTACAAGAAAATATATATCTTGTGTTTTAAATTTATTGTCCTTTGTAACCGTTGATGAGATTGGATATTCATGAAAAAAAATATCTGTTTAGTAGTTTTTCGGTTAAATATATAAAAAGGTATAGATTATAAATTCGCTTAGGTAATGTAAACCGATAGACGGACACACGAAGGAGTAAGGACTACGCAACATACCTAGGTGAAGATCATGAAAAAAACATGTAAAGCACTACTTTTGTTCAATGAACATACACAAATAATATATTCTTATACAAATGAAAGAACATTACGAGTTTAATTATTAAAAACCCGTCATTTTTTTTTTGAAAGAATATTAAATTATTCATTTCAAAAAAATATCTTTATAACTTGAGAAATTAACCCTAATTAAACTACGTATTTTTGATTCAAGGACTGTACTTAAAAATGAGCATGCTTTTTGATGGGTCTCCTCTTTCCTCAGATAGGTCTCGCTTGTACGTCATGTAATTCACGAGAATTGAGCTGCCATACGTAAAACTTAACGTACACTATTCTCTCAAGATGCGGAATATACTATTCCACAAACCATATAAATATATACGAGCTTTACATCTTCATATACTTTTGCCCTAATCAGTTTTGGTAGGCTAAACTTTCGAATAGAAAATGGGTGTATTCCCTGGATTTGGTAGCTGGATCAATCAGAACAGTCAACAGCCTCTTAAGGTCAGCTTATATCACCAATCATAGGAACTGATCGATGAAGCCAAATAAATATACACACACATTTTTATTGTTTGTTGATGTAGGACGAGTCCAAGAGATCTGAAAATGGCGAATCTAAGTCGGTGTCAGAGAAAGACACTAATAATAATCCTCCTGTTAATAAGAAGAAGAAGAAAAAGGAGGTGGTATATTATAATTTGAGAGAGGAGATGATACAAGAAAGACTTTGGCATGAAGCAGAGAAGAAGCATCCATGGCATGATCCCCCTCCCAAGATCAAGGTAAGAAAAAAAAAATCACCAAACAAAATACAATACCCAAAATTGTTTTTGCCTTGGTAGAATCAAGAACGAGATCCTTAAAATTTCTTATATTTTTATATATGAAGGTGACAAATAAGAAGGGTCTTTACCATATGAACATAGAATTGACCGTGGGAATGAGTCCTGATTCAATCTACGACATTCTGATTGATCCAAAAGGCGATCTGTTTTTCGATAGGAAGAAGTGGCGCGACCTTATGGTTTTTTTTTTTTCTAATCATTATTTGATTCGAAAGTGGAATTAAATATATAACAATACATGAGACTGTTATTTTTTTTTTTTGTTATCCAAGAAAAACTCATCAAGAAAGGTCTTGAAGGAGAATGGTCCGAGGCAGGTCATCAAGGTGGAGAAAACTGTGGCTTTTAACTTCTTTTCGCTGACGTCTATACCTATCCCGTTACATCTAATTATGGAAGAAAATCGAAAAGATCTTACGGTATGAAGCTTTGTCTCATCACAAGAATCAACAACACCTTAATTTGTGTTTGTATTGATGAAACCTAGCTAATCAGCTTATTTACAGACAAAATATAAGAAAGAGAAAGTAATGTTGATGAAAGTGTTCCACGGCAACTATAAAGTGGAGCCTATATATGTAGATCAAGAAAGGTTGTGCAAAAAGAGGTTACCAAAGAGTCCAGAAGAATATAAAAAATGTAGCCGTGGCCAAGGAAAGCTTGCGTCAAAATTGACAATAAATCAATACTTTGAGCCGTATCCTCCATTTAATCTACCTCCGCTTTCTTGGTACATCCGTGGGAGCACCATCAAAACCTCCAAAAATCTGCTCAATGCACTTCAAGCCACGGCTTTGTTTTTACGAGAGACAGAGCCACTCCCAGAAGAAGCCATCGCAGCTAGAGAGAAAGAGATTGTTCAAGCACATGATTTTTGAAAATATAGATGACTGTTTTATAACACATACAAAAAATGTTTATCGCGTATTATTGATTATTTTGACATTGACTACCGCAGCTGAAAAATGTGTTCTGAAGTTGAAACTACTAAAAAATAATTTGTGATTTAACATATCACAAGATGAAGGGCTACGTGATATACGTAAGTGAAGACATGAAGAAACAAACTTAGAAAACACACATGTAGTGGTGCTATGGGAGGAAATAATTTGAAAGAACAAATACGTGATTAATTTGTTAATGGGCTTTAGAAAAGTAGCAGGTCCATTAATATTCCAAAATTTAAAAGGCCCGTTCAAGAATTAACCACTCTTCTTTCCCTTGCTTTATATAATTCGGCGTTACCGGGTGGGGTGAAAGAAACCGAAAAAAAACATTTGAAAACTCAGTTGAATTTGCGCGGTAACCCGGGAATCAAGGAAGGAGTGACGTTCCCGTAAAGAAACAAAATGCTAATACGAACAACAAACCGAGTTTTTTATTTATTTTAATAGATCAAAGGAAGGAGGGCGGGCACAGGAGACGTGCCTACTACAACTTATCATCGCATCATGTCAATTTGTTAGATTATTCCTTTTGAAAAAAAAAACAAATTATTTTCTTATTTCTCTCTTCTTCTTCTTTTTCTTTTTTTTTCCGGGAGAAGGAACTGAGAGGGAGAGAGAGAGAGTTATAGAGGTTCTCCTTTCATTAATGGCTGTTTTTGTTCCCCATCTGATATAAAAGGTCATGCATTTATAAACCCTAGTTCTTTTTCTTCTCTCCCAAGGAAGGAAATATTTAAACATTTAATCGGCGGTTATTGTGGTTTTCTGAGTTTTGTGTTATTATCTTTGATCATTTTAATTCAAACCCAATTTTTTTTCTGGGGGTATTATTTTCCATCAATTGATTCACAAAATAGTTGTTTGGAAGATATATCATTTGTGTTCTGAGTGTTGTTTCTACAAAAAAAAAAAAAAAATTATATAAAAATAAATGTCAGACTCCGGCGGTTCTCCGACTTCTTCACCGCCAGCACCACCAGCCGATTCATCTCCACCGCCGGAGACTACTACTCCTCCACCGTCTGACTCATCACCACCGCCACCTTCTGATCCAGAACCGTCACCTCCTCCTCCTGATTCACTCCTTCCTCCGCTACCTTCTATTCTACCACCATTAACCGCCACTCCGCCACCAACTTCTACTCCTCCACCAGCAGACTCAACCAACTCTCCACCGCCGCAAACATCAACCAAAACCCCTTCTCCTCCTCCTCCTCCTACTCCTCCGGCAGATTCAGAAACACCACCAGCTCCACCAAACGAACCCAATAACCCTCCTCCATCTCCAGACGTTCAATCTCCTCCTTCTCCTCCTTCAACAAACCCTGAAACCCCACCACCGGAATCTCCTCTGGCTACACCATCAGAACCAACCAACTCACCTCCGGCTCCACCGTCAGACACCACCAACTCTCCCCCAATCCAACCATCACCACCAGCTTATTCTCCACCCCCTAGCTCACTCCTTGCACCGCCCAAACCTCACGGTGGACCTGTAGTGCCTCCATCAGCCCCCAGCAGAGAAACGTCTCCAACAAACAACGCCAATGAAAACACCTATCAAGGGAAGAGTATGGTCGGTGTGGCTGTAGCTGGTGTCGCCATCATGGCCCTTATAGCTATTGTGTTCTTAGTAAGAAGAAAGAAGAAGAGAAACATTGATAGTTATGCTCACTCACACTACTTACCACACCCTAACTTCTCCGTCAAGTCAGGTTTATAAAAAGTCTCTGTTCTAATCTCTCTGTTTCTTAGCTTTGATTTAACTTTTCTTGAAAATATAGATGGATTCTTATACGGACAAGACCCTAGTAAAGTCTACTCTGGTCCTGGTGGTTCAATGTACAACTCACAACAGCAGCAGCAGCAATATTCTTCTAACAGCTACGGTAGCCAAAGAGGTCATCAAATGCAATCCAACGACTCTGCCATCCTCGGAACTGGCCAGACTCATTTCAGTTACGAGGAGCTTGCGGAGATAACTCAAGGCTTTGCTCGTCACAACATTCTTGGAGAAGGAGGGTTTGGTTGCGTATACAAAGGTACGTTGCATGATGGTAAAGTTGTTGCGGTGAAGCAGCTTAAAGCTGGAAGCGGACAGGGCGAGCGTGAGTTTAAGGCTGAAGTTGAGATCATTAGCCGTGTTCATCATCGGCATTTGGTGTCTCTGGTTGGTTACTGTATTTCGGATCAACATAGATTGCTTATCTATGAGTATGTTTCTAATCAAACGTTGGAGCATCATTTGCACGGTATTTGCTATTTCTGTTATAGATAAGGGTTTTAGCTTTATGTGTTAGACTGGCTCACTTTGAATGTTGTGTCTTGATAGGAAAGGGAAGACCGGTTTTAGAGTGGTCTAAGAGAGTAAGGATAGCTATAGGATCAGCCAAAGGGTTGGCTTATCTGCATGAAGATTGTAAGTAGTTTACTCCTCCATTGTAGAGAAACAGATCCTTCACAACATTTTGGTTTTGTGTTTTTGACTTTAGTATTGAGTCAAGTCTTTGTGTTCTTTTACAGGTCATCCAAAAATTATTCACAGGGACATAAAGTCAGCAAACATTCTGCTGGATGATGAATATGAAGCTCAGGTAATAAAAAAAGCTTCTTTGTTTTTATTTTAAAATATGCATCATATGACTTTGTAAAGCTTTGGGTGATGAGACTTGTTCTTGTTTTTCTGGTGTATAGGTTGCTGATTTTGGACTTGCTAGACTAAATGATACAACACAAACTCATGTATCAACTAGGGTTATGGGGACCTTTGGGTAAGCATTCATCACAAACTCTAAACTCCAAAAGCTTAATTTATTATTGATGTAATGCTTGAAAACATGTTTGTTTTATGTGGCATGAAACATTACTTATCCTAGTATTCCATTGGACTAAAAGTAACTATTTAATGATCTTATGGCATTGTCACAAGGATCAAGACTTAAAATGTTTATGTTCAGGTACCTAGCACCAGAATATGCATCAAGTGGAAAACTGACTGATAGATCCGATGTTTTCTCCTTCGGGGTTGTTCTCTTAGAGCTTGTAACAGGACGGAAACCAGTTGACCAGAACCAGCCTCTAGGAGAAGAGAGTTTGGTTGAATGGGTAAAAAAAAAACATTCTTCACTCACAGTAAAAGATTGGCTCTAGTTTACTCATGCAGTACTACTTATACATGACTTCTCACAGGCACGTCCGCTGCTTCTAAAAGCCATTGAGACAGGAGATTACAGCGAACTGATTGATAGACGACTCGAAAAACATTATGTAGAGCATGAAGTCTTCAGAATGATTGAGACAGCTGCTGCATGTGTTAGACATTCTGGTCCAAAACGTCCACGCATGGTTCAGGTAACAATATTGAGCAACAAAATATTGCTTGCTCTATACGAAACTCATTCATTTGGTAAAAATAAAGGTTGTGAGAGCATTGGACTACGATGAAGACTCAGGAGATATTAGCAACGGAATCAAAGTAGGGCAAAGCACAGCTTATGACTCAGGGCAATACAACCAAGAAATCAAGAAGTTTAGGAAAATGGCGTTTGGTTCTGGTGATAGCTCAGAGACAGGGATGTATAGTGGAGATCACTCTGTCAAAAGCTCTTCTGATTTCTCAGGGAATGAATCCGAGACTCGACCTTTCAATAACAGACGGTTCTAATTAACTGGTGGAAGTAATACATACCTCTTGCCTATATTCTTGAGCTATGTAAAGCCATTCTTTTTGTGTATTGTTTTGAGATGCATTTCTTGTTAGGTGCCTTTATTTTTTGTTTTGAGAGAGGATGATTAGTGAAGAAATCTTATATATAAACATTTCTTCCAGAAATTTGTTGATTCATTAATTTTGCCAATATTCTTATAGAATTTACATAGAAAATGCTGTATATATCACACCAAGAGACTAAAAAGTTCCATACCCATAAAATCAAGCAAGAAAAGAAAAAAAAAACACAAGAAGAAAAGAAATGAAGACAAAATAAACATAGATATGGTTGTGTTTTTGGACAAATCAAGATCATTAGTGTCTTGGTCGGAACTCAAAGTCAGGACCTCCACGTCTGACTTCACCTTTAGCATGATGGTCTCCATTTTCCGGTGACTTAAGCCTCACTCCGTGTTTGATAACCGGAGGAGGAGGTGGACCTCCTCTGCCTCTTTCTTCTCTCTTGTTATCAAACCCCAATTCTATATCCTCTCCGTGACCTCTTCCAGAGAGTTTCTCAATAGGTTCATGCCGTTTCATTTCCAAACCAAACTCCAAATCACCTCTCTCCCTTGGCTCACGGTCCACAGGCCGAATCTCACGGCTCTTCTTAGACGACGTTTTCTCATGCTTTGATTGCTTGCTATGCTGCTGCTTACCCGCACGGCCTTCACGGTTGCATAGCCTCCCGAAGACACAAGCCAGAACCGACAAGACAAGGATTACGGCTAGGACAATGAAGACTGTACCAAAAGAACCGCGAGAGCCAGAGGAAGATGATGAAGAAGAAGAAGATTGATATGGATATTGTTTGGTGTATGCGGTTGGATACACAACAACAGGCTGATGCATCTGTTGTACTCCCTGGTCTTCCATTTTCTCCCCCTAGGTTTTGGCTTATGTTTCTGTTCTTAGAGCTGAATCAAGAAGTGGTATAAGAAGATGTTGGGGAAGCTTAGCTTGGAGTACCTTGAGTAGAGATCAAGGAAGGTTATTATGAAGGTACTTGTGGGACAAGAAATGTGAATATGCTTCACTCCAATGTGAGATAAGTGGTAATGAATTAATAGAAGCATATTGTGGTTTTTAAATAAAGTTATCATACCAAAAGTGACATATAATGAAGGGAATAAGACTAATGCGTCTGAAACCAAAGTTTTATATTGACAGAACATTCTTTGTAGTTTTTCTTTCTTTTCTTTTCTTTTCTTTTCTTTTCTTTTCAAAAAGAGAGACAACTAAAGAGATTCTTTGTGATGTGTGTAAGTGCATTGAGAGAGATGTGAGAAGATAAAGTGGGATTTTGTACAATTTCTTCTTTTCCAAGAAAATATCGAAAAAGATTTATGGGATGGCTTAACCAATCATTGGTTCTTTTTTCAACTTTATTTACATGTGTGCGTGTGTTACTTGAAATAGAACTGCAAGAAAAATGAGAAGAGGCTATTTTACGAACACAAAAAAATAGGAAAAAAAGATATAGTACTCCATATTGAACAAGTGTATTTTGATGTGTATACTATTCATTTCTTTTACTCACGCAATATGAAAACTGCAATTGTTGATTAGTGAATGGTATGAATTAAATAGAAGAACATAATTACTTTACATAAAACTTATGGAAGGAAGACAAATAATGTACGCTTTCGATGGTGTATAAGCTCACGTTTCACTTTCAATGCATAATCACTTTATGCTGAACGAATGTGACATAAAGCACCATGTTTTTTTTTTTTTCAATTCAAACAAAAAACATTCCAGTGTGTTCGTATACTAAAATATGATAATGCAATTCAAAGTTATCGTAATGCAATTTTTGCGGCTTATTCTCAACAACACCATGTTCTTTTATCACATAGAACGTTTTTTCAATATGAAAACATGCTTTCTTTTACTTGAGGATTATGTATACTACTCTAGTTTACTGCCCATTTTAATTAATATTCTGATGTCGTTGAGAAAACTATGACTTGATTTCTTAGTAGCTATTATCATTCGTTATGATATATACTTAAGTTAAAGATAAGATCCTGTGCAGTCTCGTGATAATAGGTCGGATGTTGTGTGGGGCTTGGCCAGAGGAAATGGTTTAAAGTTATCCACAACATAGGGATTAGCGTATAGCACGCTTTTGTGTTCTTTCATGGCATTCTTTTGTTTCTTTCACTACATTCTCTCTTTAATAATTGACTGTTTCTTTCGTTTGTGTATAATGGGGGTCACCTTTTGATTTTTCCTTCAGCTTTCCTTCCTTTCCGTTAATAAGGAAAAACATTCCTTCTCAATAATCCTAGCCGCAAAGTGTTTGCTAAGAAACTGTTTTGGAATACAATTTTCACAACGATCATTCGATCTTTGCAAAAAAAATGGTACACAGAAATGATTTGTATTTTCATCCTCTAACAGTAACTCAAGCAAAAATGATCATTAGTAGTAACGGCAACAATAGTCCATGAGCTTGGATTTCACGTAGGAGCCGGAATAAATCTAAGACCAGCTCGACTAACAAAATCTTGAAACTTTGATGGGGTTTTAGCCTTTACATGAATTGAGAGAAATAAGACTCAAAGAACATCTCATCTCCAATATGGTTCTTACGAAGGGGTAGACATTTAGGAACCGGTTCTTACCTTTTTTAGTTAAAAGTTAAAAAATAGGTTCTTATATTCCGTTAACAATCCCACCGTCAGAATCTCTCATTGGAGTTGGTCTAAGAGTACATATCCCAAAATTTCTGTGTACTCCTCCAATTACTACAACATTAAATTTCTAAAACCGCTTAATTATAAATTATAATGGAACCTTTAAAATCACTTTATTCATCTCAATATAGTTGAATGTTTTACAAAATGCAACAAAAAAATTAATCATGTGTCCATTAACAATTTAATTTTGAATTATTTTTAGTATTTCCAGGGAAATTTGAAAATAGAAACTCAAACATAGCCGTGGGTACATCTAAAAAGATAGACAACTTTTTTAGGTTATAGGCCCATTAGATGCGGATGCTCGAATTTCACGTAAGTGAGGCAGAAACATTCTTCAATATACTTGCAGCTCTCGCTTGTACGTCAAGAAAGAAGTCACGAGGCTTTAGCTGCCTTGACATGTTTCTTTTTCTCCTCGTTGGTACGTAAACGCAAGGTACACTCCACCTTCACTATTCTTTCAGTTTCATATGATGTTTTGTGTAAATCTGAATCTATATATCATCAAAAGTCCCTGAAACCATATATAGTACGATTATACTTATCGTCAATTCTCTCTGTCTAGGTAAATGGGTATATTTCCTCGGTTTGGTGCCTGGATCAATGAGAACATTGAACAGCCGAGAAAATCTCAAAATGTTGAATCCAAGAAAGGGAGAGAGATGAAAAGTCACGAGGATAGAGATGACACAAAGGAGCAATTAAAACTATGGAGAGAAGCAGAAAAGGAAAAACAATGGCTTGATCCTTCCCCTAAGGTGACGAAGGTAAGATCAACTATATCAGCTAACAATTAGAAAACATTTAATAGTTTTTGCTTATATAAAAGTAAAAATAAACTCTCAAATGTTTATTTGTTTTGAAGTTTGAACTAGCGAATAATTTAGAATGGGGCTATTGCCATCTGAAAATGGAATTTGAACTAGGATTGCCACCTCAAGCAGCTTACGAAGTGTTAACTAATCCAAACAATCAGTCATTCACCAGAATAATTAAACACCACGAGGATATGGTTTATTTCTTCAATTTATCATTTTAACGAGTATATTTAAGAGCTTTAAATAAAAACAATATTAGAGAGAGTGAGTTTTTCTTTCTTATGAAGCAAAACATATCAAGAAGATTTACAGCAAATGGTAAACGAAAAGGGAGGTCAGTAACGGCTGACAAAGTTTTGGCATGGAAGTTCCGGAGGTGGTCGCGAACTATCCCGATACGTGTAAATTCAATCCTAGAACCAAAAAGACCAATTGATGTAAGAAACGTCTCTCTATTTTTCACGAGAAACAACAATGTTTTTGCTCAACTCTTGGAACTGCTTTTGGTCGGCAGGTACATTATAAGATAGAGAAAAAATACATGATGAGGTTCATGGAAAAGTTTGAGGTTTCCTGTTCACTGGAGCCAATGTATGTAGATTCAAAACACTTGTGCAAGAACATGAAGCCGAAGAACCGAGAAGAATACAAAGAATGTAGTGGTGGACAAGGAAAGATTGGGACAAAGGTGGAACTGGAACAGGTTTTTAAGCCTTCATTTATTTTCAATTATCCACCGGTTTCTTGGTACATTCGCTGGCTTACTGTCAAGACCATGAAGGATGTGGCCAGAGATTTCCAAAGTCGGGCTGCTGTCATCCGAGCCGCTGAAATACCCCAATCCGGTAACAATCGATTTTTACCGTTTTGGTATTAAATATTAAATAGTGTTCTAAAATTATATTAGTTTTATGTGCAACTCCACATAGATGTCCGTTTCCAAAATACTCTATTACATTTGTTTCCTTATGGTTACTACTTACTCTCTAAATATTGTTTTATTACATGTGTTTTTCTACAATCAATAGAGTATGTAATAGGCTAATAGCAGCACGAAATCGTATCCATTAAACCAAAACTTGAAGCTCTAACTAAGTAAAACACAAAACCTTAGCCCACTGAACAAAACAAATCACTTCCAAAATCCATAACTGATATCGTTCTCATTCGACAGCTTCTCCAACTTTCTCGTATTAATCATTGAGCGAGATAAGTACTCACGGGCTTTTGTCATAACGTAGGATACATCATTCATGCATATAGAATTTGTGGATAATTATTGTTTCATCTTTGAAATTGGATTAGTCATGCATAACACCACTAGTGACTAATCTGACCGAGTCACGAAATTCTATTTGTGATATATTTATATTTACGGTTGATTATATTCATTACAGATATTCTTCGAAGTATACTCCGGTACATGATAATCTCCTTTATTAAACATCTAGTTACCATAGAAAGCTATTGAAGACAGGTCTCAGTAACATATGCACGACCACATGATCTCGATTATCAACGTAGCCGGAGCTCCAACTTATGAATTGAAATTCAAAAATAAAACGTGAAGCAGAAAGAAGTAGAGTAAATCCTCGTTTACAAACTATATAAAAGAGTAGTTTCTATGTTCTACGTGCAGGAGACTCCTCTCCTTGCACAAATCAGAACAACGATCACAAAATCAAATCCACATACCCGAAACAAAAAAAAAAAGAACAGAACAATAAAGATGAAGCAAAAAATCAGATAATGTTTGCCCCTGCATCCAGATTTGCCAAGCAAAATCAACTCAACCACAAACTTTCCTCTTACGCCTGCAAGAATCAAGCAACAAGAACACAGAAGAAAGTATTACAACTTGCACAGAATAAATTGCCGTTTGAGAGTTGGGACATTACTACCTTGCCGGCGATGTTGTTGGACAACCAGTCAAGACCCTCGTAAAGCCCCTCGCCTGAAGTGGCACATGTGCTCTGGATGTACCTGAACAGAGAGAAAGTTCAAAGAGATAAAACTGATCAGAGAAACGTTCTAAGCAAGAGAACAAAATCAACATGAAGATTGAGAAATGTTTCATTCATACCAGTGACGCTGACGGAGAGAGTGGAGGCCAAGCTTATCGGTGATCTCAGCTGCGTTCATGGCATTTGGAAGATCCTGTTTGTTAGCAAACACGAGCAGAACAGCATCACGCAGCTCATCCTGTAATAAAAACCCATCAAGTGTTTCAGTAACTTAACTCGCATGAACGAAATCAATAAAAAAATAACTTGCATGGAAGGAACATACCTCATTAAGCATCCTGTGCAATTCATCTCTAGCCTCAACAACACGGTCTCTGTCATTGCTGTCCACCACAAAGATAAGACCTTGAGTGTTCTGGAAGTAGTGCCTCCACAATGGACGAATCTGATTTTGAAAAAAAACAGGTTATATAATACCATGTCAGTTAATATGGTACACAGTTGCAAAACCAAAACTTATCAATCACACAATACCTTGTCTTGACCCCCGACATCCCACACTGTGAAACTGATGTTCTTGTACTCCACAGTTTCCACATTGAACCCTGTCCACACAAAAACATATACTCTATGAATGGCATGAACATAGTCTTATATATGACTCTTAAAGTTGAAACTAATAAGCTTTTGAAAAAAAAAATGAATGGCAAGACTTACCAATAGTGGGAATGGTGGTGACAATCTCACCAAGCTTGAGCTTGTACAAAATGGTGGTCTTACCAGCAGCATCAAGACCAACCATCAGAATCCTCATCTCCTTCTTGGCAAATAGCCTGCTGAACAGCTTCCCGAAAGACAACCCCATCCTTCTTCACTCTATCAGCCACACACACACACAGGAATCAGATTAGCTTTATATCACAAAACAATACACCAAGCAATCAACAACGCACTTGTTCAACGCTCTTAAACAAATAAAAAAAACACAATCAGATCCAAACAGATTCAACGAAACGTCTCAAAACCTAAATCTCATTATAGATCGTCGAGAATTTCAGAATCGGGAATGAATTTCACAGATCCAGACTCAGACGATGCAGTGGTAGATCGAATCGTCAAATTATCAACGAAAACATCCAAATCTCAGAGAATCGAGCAATACAAAAACCTAATATCAAAGCAAGAGATCCGATTCGTACGAATACAATGAGGAATTTGTAAATCGAGAATGCATATAAGAATCACAGATCCGGATCAAGCGTACCTCTGCGGAGATTATCGGATCGATGCGAAAGAGAGATAGAGAGATGCTTGCGACGCCTCCGTAATGTTGGACGGAGAAGATCTTTATAGAGACGAAGGATTAAAACGTCAATTCAGTTGTTATGTGGTTTGAAGTACCGGAAATACCCTTTTGCAGAATGTTTTTTCGTGGAGGTGGTTTGCTTGAGCTTACGCGGTTTACATGCGATGATAGTTGGGTGATTGGCCGTCGATCGCATCTGACCATTCATAAGTTGACACGTCGTTATCAAATGTTCGTTTGATGTTGACTTGTATTTGAATATGTTTCTCCTGATTTCGGTTTGGTTAACTTTAGATTATTCTTGCATTAGCTGAGCTTAAATTAAGAGATTTATACCTTACGTAGATACTTGTATAGGTTTTTCACTGTTAATGTATATGGCACTGAAGCTTCATCGGACGTGTTCTTCCCGCTTTAGAACCAAAATCGAAATCAAAACTTTTTAGAAATTTATAGAATCTCGATTCCAAATTGCTTCTAAAATAACATATATAAAAACATGTTAGAAGTTTACGATTCCACTTTGGAATCAAACTTCCAATTTTAAAATCACAATGTCATATATAGATAAATGAAATATAAAATCATTTTTATATTTATATAGTATATAATAGTATATATAGTGAAAGTATAAATATATAAATACTAAAATTAATACTATAAATCATATGTATGCACTATTTTATTGGAGGTATATCATATATATATTCAAATATGTTGTGCCAATTATTTATAAAATGTTAAAAATAATTAATTGGTAATATTTGTTTATAAACTTAACTTATATGTATTTTCACAATTACAATATGAAATCATTTAAAATTATAATAAATTAATATATGTTTTATTTTAAGGATTAATATCATATAATTCTTAGTTATAAATTTTGTTATATATGAAAAATCTCGATTTTGCGTTTCCATACGATTCCATTTTCGTGCACCCGATTCCGTTTCCATGTAACATAGCTTCTAATACGTATTAGTTACATCCTTAATACTTTTGATATTGTTTGAAAGAACGTGTACATGACTTGTAGTTGTATGATACAAAAGGTGGACAAATGCTGTGAAGAACAACAATCTTATGGTTAACTATAAAAAAAAAAAAAAAAAAAAAAAAAA